ATAACTATTCAAGTAAAAAAAACAAAGCTTTACCTGTTAAAACTTCCAAACCGAACTTCGTCACCTTCTTCATGTATTTCGGAAATAGCTTGCTTGATTAGTGGTGAAATTTCTTAGTTTGTTGCGGCAGCAAACCGAGAAAGCATTTTTGCTCGCAACCTACGCGAGTTTGGCGTCGCTCGCTGGGAGGAACTGGACGTGAATCAGTGCATAGTGTAGGATATTCACTGATTGAGTAGCCAATCAGAGCGCCCGAAAAACACTATCCACTGTTTTAGTATATACTAAATATAGTTAACACTAACACCACCACGATGCATGCAGCCTCGTTTTGAAACTGACAGTTTAGTCTTTAGTCCCTTTAGTCTAACGCCCAACAGTAGTAGTTATATGAAATGATGAATATATGAATTTCATATATTGTAACTTCGGATTGAAGCAATAAATCCCAGCAAGCCTGAAAAAGCTCAGGCTTGCTGCAATTCGAACCATGAGCTCTACGGTACTGGTGCAGCGCTTTTCGCGGGCATACCTTGCGTCTTTAACAGGAACAATCTTGCATTTATTTCCTCATTCCAGGGGTCCAATATAGTAAATTCATGTATTTGTCATTTCATCTTCATCTTTCCTGGGTATAATACGAGCAAATTTAATGATCAGCTCCCATTTACGTGGCTTACCGACGCAAATTGGTTAGAGCCCTGCATCGGTATCGCAGTCAGGGTTAATCCCGGTAAGCTCCCGATCTTGTTAGGCTTTTTTAAGCAACTGCATAAGTTGAGACTGTAACTGTGCATTTGTTATGTCTACAGCTATTTCGAGAAAGGCTGTCGGCAAAAGTGCACGCGACAATCCTGAAAGGCATTGTGGGTGGTTTTGAGTTTTCTTTTTTTCAAAGAAATTTGAAAGAATTGGCACGAAAGGCCATGGAAATGTGTTTGCGAGTGCTAAAGGAAAGAAATAAAAGTAGGATCGACAGCTACAGTCATCAGGAACAGTGTATTGATCATATCCCATATTACCTTTCGGGATTGTCGCTGCACTTTTTTCCCACAACCTTACTCGAAATAGCTGTATGCAACTGGACTTAGCTCAGCACCTAGTAGTACCGGATGAGTAGTCATTTTTTATGAACATGGGCTCAGCGTAAAAATTTGATAAATTACTCTCACCCCGCCCGCTGCCCCTGAATAAGCTTGAATATATCCTGGTCGTCATCAATTCTTGCGTCTCACCAGGAGCCCATCAATGCGTTAGAATTAAGTAAATAGTGGGAGTTGAACCACAAATTGACGATAAAGTTTTTAAATTAATATGAATCGAAGCTGGTGGCTTATAAAAATAAATTTATAGTGAGTTATGCATCGTTCATCAGTTGAGGCATATTGTTGGTCTCTGCGATGTCAGAGGAAACCGCTTTTATTAGTTTTTTCCTTCAAGAAGCACAATATTATTGCAAAAATATATATAAGTTTTTATTTTTTTTAAATGCATGCATAAATTATGTGAAATTTATCTGCATGAAATCTTTTGCCGGGGTAAAATTTCATGCTTTTCTACAGGGGGTAAAAAGGTATTTTCCTCTTTTTCAAAACGTTATTTTATATTTTTGCCCTTTCAAAAGGGATACAACAATAATTATTAGCTTCAGTCTATACCGCTGTAAAAACCTGCTGAGGTATTATCGATCCATTTCAATATGGTGAATTTCCTACAATTTTCAAATTTACTCGACGCCTTACTTAATGTTTGTTTCAGTCAAACGGTTTTAGCTTTCAAAGTTGTTATAAACGGCAGCTGGAAACTTTTAAAGTTCCTGTTGATAAAACAGAATTTTTGCTTCAGCTTCAAGCTTTTCCTACGGCTAAAACTCAGGATCAACATTCCTAATGCTGTATGATCTTTCAGGTATTTGAGACTTAAAAAACTATTTTCCATGAAACGAAAGGAATATCCTTAACTTACTTTACTTTTTCTTTGTTTTTTTTGTTTTTCCTTTTTTTATTTCATGAATGTCCGTCTGACATTAATTAGAAGACTGAGAAGAAAGGAAGAGTTGCTGCCGGGAAAAGTTGATCAGTGCTTATGATTGTAGTACAGTTTAAGGTCAATGGTTTATGCTAAACTTTAAAAGCAAAGTACAATAGGCATGTAGCCTTTATATAAAAAGAAAGTACAAAAAGGGGGGAATGTAAGTTATATCGAGTTATGTTACTTATAAACAGTAGACCTCAACCTGATTGTAGTGTCAATGCCGTGTTCATCAGTACTGCGCGCCAGCCCGGGTAAATATCCTACACGAGTACATATACAGAAGATTCTCGCTCGCGGACTTCTCCGGAAAAAGGAAATATGCACATGTAGTTGTTCAATTCTATATCCTCGGTTTTAATTTGATTTATTCTCTGTTTTTGAATGTTGTACTGAGTTAAGGGTTGAGACTGTCGCGTAACTTTTCCTTGCGAACGCACGAAAAATTTACTCGCGTAAATGACATAGAGGTAATGTATGAGAGGCCATGCGTAAAACGTGAAAGTTGAGCGATGTTCAACTTTTACGTTTACGCGTGACCTTTTATACATTGCCTCTATTTTATTTACGCGCGTAAAATTTAAGTGCGTACGCACGTAAAAATTATGCGACAGTGGAAATCCGCCTTTATCCGAGTCAGTGCGTTACCGGCAAAAACACGGACAGGCTGGTTGTAAAGAAAGAGAGAAGTTCAAATACCGAACTAGGTGCAGTAAAACATAAAATTTCCGTCTTTGTTCACTCATCTTGTTGGTTCATTCATTCGGCTTTATTTCCGCCGATCTCTCGAGTCTGGTCTTTTTCCATCCCGAGAAGAGAGCATAGAACAAGAACTCTCTAAACCTTTGAATATTCAAACTAAGCTGAGTGCTCTTTATTGCAAAAGCCACGATTCCTATTTGAACAAGAACGTCCCAGCTGCAAAAAGTTTGGAAATATATTTTATTTTCAAATAGCAACATAAGCAAAACTGAATATTAAGATTTCAAATGAAAGTTTAATCACACTGTAAATTAATGCAAAGTTAAAAAACTCTGACTATTTTTTATAGAACATCGCTGAAGAGAAAAGATGTCATCAATGCGTAAAAAAAACTGAAAATGGTGCGTTACACGCTATTAATACACTTCGGTTAGCCAATCAGCTCTCAGAATCTTGCTTAGAATTATAAGACAATGAATTGCCTTAGTCTTCAGCAAAATGTACTACTGTTCGAATGTTTGGGCAAATACCACAAATAAGAATGTTATAAAATTGCAGGCCGTTCAAAAATTTACTTACCGAATCTTCAGCGGTGCGAAAAAATATGATCATGTAACACCCCTTTTAAAAAGCCTGTCTTGTTTGCCTGTTAAGGACCAACTGTATTATCGCCAAGCTATTAAGGCCTTCAAATGCATGACCGGTCAAGCCCCTGAATATCTTACATCCCAATTTGTTACCCGTGAGCAAGTTAGCGAACGAACAACTCGGAGAAGCCAAAAGCTAAACATCCCTCTTTTCAGAACTGCCTCCGGACAGAAAACCTTTTATTACAGGACTGTTAAACTTTGGAACAATTTGGAATCTTTTCTTAAGTTAAGCCCATCTAGCTGTTGAAGTTTTTAAACGTTCCTTAAGGAGCCAGCTTTTAGATAATTTTGTAAATACTTCTTAGTTAAGTTTAAAACATTGTAATTAGTAATTAGCTATCATTGTAATTAGTATTAGATTAAGTGTTGTAATTAGTTATTATAAATGTTGTAATATAATCATTGTTCCTGAAAAGCCCCTTTGGGGAGGTAACAATAAAGTATGTATGTATGTATGTATGTTTGTATGTTTGTATGTATGTATGTATGTATGTATGTATGTATGTATGTTATGTATGTATGTATGTATATGTATGTATGTATGTATGTATGTATGTGTGTGTGTGTGTATGTATGTATGTATGTAATTGCAAATAAAAGGACAAAAAAAGAAATCAAACCATAAGTAAAATTGCACCACGTCAAGCATTATCAAAAAGGAAAAGCTGAAGACCGAGATGTTCGAAAAGAACGGGTGAAAATGCAGCGAAAACCAGCAGAATTAAAACGGAAGTGAACACGCGACAATACATGTGACCCGAAACAGATGCTGATGTTTATTTCTAGCGGACTGACTGTTATTTCATAATTGGTCTTTTTGCCACTTTTTGTATGTCATTTGCCACTGCACTTTGTTAAATCGAAATAAATCAGTCGCTCGCTAGTTTCCCGCCAACCAAGCGAAAGTAGCACGTAACAAAGCGAACCTTGACTTTGTCACTTGTGTTTACTCTCCATTTGGGCTTACAGATTCTGATTAAAGTTATAATATAACCAGGTTTTCCTCCTGTTGTTGAAAGCAGTACTTTATCTTATTTATATCTTTAGCACTCTATCGCAGAATTGTTCAGGGGCACCCAACGACTGTTTTCTGTAAAATATCTGTTCGGAGAAGCAAATTTTGCCTAAAATTTTCTTCTGCTTGAGGACGGCTAAAAATTTCTAGATGAACGTTCCATTCATGTACAATTTGGCAAGCTTTTCTAATAAATTCCCTACGATTTTCAGAAGTTTAATTTTTACTATTTTAGTACCCAGGTTGCACTATTTTTCCTAGAAAACGAAACCTAAAATTTTCGGATTCTATAATGTGATGGAGAGAGGGATCAGAAAAATTTTTACTTTCGTAAAACGTTAAATTACACCTAAAATTTTCGGAAGAAAAATACTGAAGCTCTTGTAATTTCGAAAAGACTTAAGTTCCCTCAGGATGACCGAACAGATACAACTTTTGTAGCGCCGCTTAGAATATATTTCTAGAGATCTAAAAGTACTCTGGATAGCCTAAAAAGTGTTTACAACGTATTTTGAAGGACACCGTCGTTGGGTGCCCCTGATTGTTTTCCTCGAAGTTTTTAAAAAAAGGGAAAGAAGAGTTAATAATTATTTTATTCAACAATTGCAACAGGGAAACTCATTGATTCTGCTTACCCTCCTTCCCCGCGCCCTTCTGAGCAACACCTTAACATCACGTTTTACTTAAACAGGACGATGAAGTTTGTATTTGCGCTATCGCTGATGCTTTGTTACAGTTCTGCTCAGAGTGCTGATTCAAGTGAGTATATTGTACAGGCCAACCTATGAGTGACTACCTTTCGTAAGCGACCATCTAAACAAAACACCAAAACTTTCCCGGTGAAAGCCTTACAGTTGGTACCTCTAGTAAACGACCACCTCCTGTAAGCGACTGCGACCACACTATTTGGGTCTGACGGTTTAATGATTTCCATTGGTTTTAACCTTGTAAGCATCCACTTCATGGTCCTTCAAGCATTGTCTGATCTCTATTTTGTCAGTGTGTACTCTGCTAACAGGAATATATACGGAGAACTTTAGCAAAGCATGGAACTACACACTTGCAATAACTTATCCTCCATGAAAAAAGTTGTGTTCGGACATCTCCTTAAGCGGCCATTGAGTCTGCATTTTTCGTGCTCTCAGGGGGTTCGCATGTATTTTTATCGCGCGGAATATACTATACGCCCCTATTTTCCTCCTGCCCGTCCACCCAATCAGCTGACATGGAGAAAACAGAAACTAGTGTGTAATTACCAAACATCTGGCAACTTTTCTTCTTTAAGTTTTTTTATGGCAATTTTCGTGATCCACCTATCGTGTTCAAAAACTCAATCACCCTGGGTCAGATTTGATTTCAGGTAATAACCTGTAAGTTTGTGATATTGCATTTTTAAACCAGTGGGAAAATAGTGGGATTTACGAAATTCGTTTAGTTTTTTATGTCATCTAAAACTTTCGAAAAAGCAAAGAACGTAGAAAAAAGAAAATTGAGGGTGAGACCCTTAAGTTCTTAATTGATTATAAGAGAACACAAGTCTACGCGTAAAATTACTATCTGATTTTATAGGATGTGGTTCTGTGGTAAACAACACTTTGACAAGTCCTGGATTTCCAACACCATACCCAAATAACATAAGATGTGTGTACAACGTTTCCATTCCATCCCGAAAGGCGCTGAAGATCACTTTTTCAAAATTTTCCCTGGAACCAAGTCCTCGATGCCGGTAAGTAATTTAACAATAGACAGCTTTAGAGTCACGTTTACGGCAAACGGCAAACTTCAGATTCAAGTTGAGAATATCTCAAAATTGAAAAAAAAAAAATAGCAGGTAAAAACATATGGATAAAACTGGCGTTATACAATTCACCTTTTTGTAGAAGTAATGAACAATAAACATCAAGAAAAGGGAAAGCTTGGTCACGTGGTACAGATTCACTTTTGCCGTTTACAATAAAGTTAACGTGACTGATGACAAACAAAACAAAATTCAAACTATTATTTACAAAAATCGAATGTTCGTTGCTGGTGCTCGTAGATAGGCTCAAAAGGTGTAGAGTCTTCTCATTGGTTAAAACGAGATCTGACCAATGATGTGGTTTTCGACCTGGAAAATGCCATAGCTTTTTAAAAATCCAAATTAAGATTTCACGCCTCAATGCTTTTACGTGAGTTGAGATGAGTGAAATCCCTTTTACAGGCCTTTGTTATCTGTGAGTAGGTCGAAAGCAAGAGAACATAAAAACCTCTTGTTGAGCGTTAATTGGCATTTGTAGACGGCGGCAATTCGACTGCTCGAAAGTGACTCAAGTGCAACATAAAATGAAAGAATTTGATGGGAGGCTTAATATTCCACAGAAACGTTTGGAGCTTCCTTAACTCCACCATAAAGCACACTCGCAATTAGTTGAGGCACGAGAACATAAAAGGCTTTTATGTTCTCATTGGCGGTTAGGATTATTTCTATCAATTTAACTGCCCTTGAAAAGTAAAAAACATATTTTTCCCTTCTAGGTATGATTATTTGAGGATTGTAGATGATGAAAACAGAACACTTGGTACATATTGTGGGCGCAAACTTAGTGGAAAGGCAGTTTTGGTAAACGGAAACTACGCATTAATAACATTCCACTCTCACCGCTACGTTTTTCAGGAATACCCAGGATTCCAACTGACAATATCATTTACTGAAAATCAAAATGGTATGTTCAAATAAGAAGGGATTCTTTCATAAAAAGTAAATGAAATGAAATAAAAAAAAATAAAATAAAGAATATAACTAAGTTGCCATTCAGGTAAGATGTCAAAGTTGATGTTTAGAGGTCAAGGTGAGGTGCGCGGCATTTTTAAGAAAACTGATAAACAAACAATACAACTAAATATTGATAAAATAGGCAAAATTAGAGGTAACTTCAGCCTTTTTTTTTGCTGTTAAGCAAACTCTAAGTCTGACTAGGAACACTATACAATCTTTCATTCGGGGTTATGCTGTAGACCTGTAGTGCAGTATTTCTTAACGATTTCGCAATTTTTTTTTTTAACTGTGCTCTCAAGATTAAGATCAGGATATCGGGGATTGAACAAGGTGGTACTGAGATTTTACTGCATAGTACTGATGTTTTACCGTATTATACGACTTTCTCGGAGAGAAAGTGAGAAAAATGCTCTTTCCAGTAGACTGCAAAACAATCGGCTTTTTTTCTCAAAATCAGTAAAGAAATCGGTAAAGCGTGGCGTAAGAGTCTTAAGCGCTAAGCTCGCTTGTCTCACACGCCCGTAAGGCGTGTGAGGCGAGAGAAAAAAAAACCTAGCATTAGCATTGCTTCTCCCTGAAATGTAGTATATAAAGTGGAGGATCAAAAATGAGTGGAAGCGGCAGTAGTACGCCAACAAAGCCTGTGCCCGCTCCTCGAAGGGGGAGTAAGCCGAAAGAGCCTAGCGCTTCGTATAAATTGTAGAATTTCAAAACACAGTTCGGCAATTTTATGAGTGGATAGATAAGCTCGGAAAATGTGTTTGTTGCGCCTACCAGAAAAGGAGAAACGTTACCAAAGTTGGCCAACCTACTGAAAAACGAACTTTTCGTTGTCCTCGAGGAAGAAGAATCTTTCTCCACAAGAGTTTGCTCTCCGGCGGAACAAAGGTTAGAAACTGGGCTACGATGCTTTCCCAAATTAGAGAAAAGCTGAACATGCCAACTGACAACGAACAATTATTGACATTATTTCGATTGAAAAGAATGGGTAAATCCCCTCATTCCAATCCACTTCACTTTGTGATTTGGCTCTGTAAATCGACCTAAATCATTTAAACATCCTGCTAAAAACGCTAACGAGCTGGGCCCAGCCTGACAAAACCTTGTACGAAAACGTCACATTCATGAACAAAAAGAAAATGGCTCAGAATTATTGAAATCCAGGAGGCACTTTGGAGAAATTAAACAACCTAAAAACCCTTAATCAGCCGCATTGAAGAACTTTACATTTCCAAAGAGGCCAAAAAAGAAAATGCTCTTGCATCAGTGGGCAAATCATGCCGACCAGAGAAAATCAATATGCGTGTCACGACCTCTCAGTATGAAATATATTTAATAAGCGGCCAAAATTCACATTTGCCCAGTCAAAACGTTTTCCGCCAAAGCGTAATCTACTCGACAAAGAAAACAATTATTTTGGCATGAGGTAAAAGTCGTCTGTTTTCTACCGATCCCCCTTTTTTACACAGGCGAGATAACAATGACTGTCGATCGGCCTTTGCACGGAACTTGAAGAACTCTTTGCATGAACAAACATCTGATAAATAAGGCTGTTGGTGGGACACAGAAAACATCCTTTCCCCTGAGCAGCATCTCCAAAGCTTCCCTCTGCTCCGATTTTAAAACAAATCCCAGTTCTTGCGCGAGCAAATCCAAGCAATCAACATCCGTCATTTTACAGCGAAAGCTTTAGGAATCTATTCATCACGGTACGGAATATCGCGCATGACTTGTTGAAAACATTACTTGACAGCTTGTTGACAGCTTGCATCGAAATTTAGCCAGTGGGAATTGCCCGTGGCTGGGAGAATCGGGTAATTCGAACGAAAATAACGTATGCAAAACGGACAGTCCGTATTTTCAGCTGTTTTTCAAGAGACCATGACAGGCTTTAATAGAAATCTATTAAAAAAGCCTTGTGGAGGTTTCAGCAACTTAGAAAACCCATCAGCTAGCGGCGTTTATTAAATCATTTCAAATGATAAGAAACCATTACGAAGTGAATCGAAGATACTAATGATGAGTAGCAGTAGTAATGCATTGCAATTTGGATTTGTTAACATAACAGCGTCAAATTAAAGTGTTTTAAATAGTAAATTAATTAACTCTCGAACGTACAAAGGGGGGAGAGGGTGGATGCCCATCCCCCTCTGAGGTCTTTCTGTGATTTTCCCTCCACCCACTATTAGGTTTTTCTGTGTTTTTTCCTACACGATTAAACGTTAGCATCTAACGTTTTCAGTAGCCGTACGTTTGTCCTTCTCGCGCATTTTGAGACAAGTTTAATGATTATCAGTTTCTATGGTTACGAGATATGACGTGATAATCTGCAGGTGGTCAAGGCATTAATGACTTTTTTCAACTTCTTTCAACAGTAAAAGTAAATCTTGTAGATAAAATGAAGCGAAGTACTTATTTAGGTATTAAACTAAACGTCATGCACAAGGCGTTTCCAGTTCTCGGCGTTTTTACCCGATTTCTAATTCTTGGTAAAATCCAAGATGGGGGCTAAGATGGCGACCATGTTTGGTGACGTCACAGGCCTCCAGCAGCACCACCACCCATAAATTTTACCTCATCTTGTCGAGAAAATCAAAGGCTTTCCACGGAAAGTAGTGCCTTTTCAAAATACTGCAACATATCAGAAACCTAGCAAGGGGTTCGATCAATCCGTCCTTGTACCACGGTGGGGGTATGATTTTGTTGGTACGTCCGAAGGGTTAAAATATTTGAAAGATGTTGTCGCAGTACAAAATTCCGTCAAGTGAAAAAAGTTTTGTATCATTAAGCAAGAATTATACTTATTTCTGTTTTTATTTTTTTTGGTTCCATGAAATTTAAAGGAACTTTTTCTATATTGATAATTCATCTTGCTTTGCCTGGTAGAAACATTGATAATATTTATCATGTCGTTCAAATTCTTGTAAAGCAATCTTTAGTAACCGAAAGAACGCTTTCTCTATGTATGTAGGTGGAGGTTAACTATTAAAAGGTTAGAACAACCAAAGAAATTAAGTCTTTTTGGCAGGCGCCAAAAGGGGAAAGCAAAAGAGGGTAGAGGGAGAAAAGCGCCCAAGTAAAAAGGGAAGGGAGTGTCTGCTAAGTCAGTATAATTTTCCTTAGCCTGTTCCAGGCAGACTGGCGAGAGGAAGGGCGGCAGGGCCTGTAATCAGTTTTTGAAACGGCTTGTTCCGGTATACCATATCCTGGTATACCTTCTGTTTGGTCAGATTTGACAGTTTATATTATCACTTCTCAAGGAAGTTCTAAAGTGATGACGTCATAAAAATTAAAGTTTTGAAATAGTGGAATTCGTTAGGATATTTTGAAAGAACATCTGAAAGGCCTACTTGCCAAAAACTTGAATTGTTTGGCAAATTGTCTGGGAGATACTAGTCCCGTTTTGCTCTGATAACTCCATACAAATCTTTATATTAAAATTTACTCGGTACTTAATGTTATGAACTGAGTCTGAAATTTAGAAGGAGGTTCCCTTTTAACGAGGTTGCCGATTTAATCGGTGGTGGCTAGTTGGTAAACTAGCGGATAAGGCATCTTGTCTATTACTAGAGAAACGCCGCAGACTCGAGTTATTAGTCTCGCTTGCGTAAGCAGCGAGACTCATACTTTGCAAGCCGTTTTTCTTCGTATTTAGGACACAAAAGGGCGTTGGGGTCCCAGGCGTTCTTAGCGGAGACCGTGAAAACTGGGAATAAGAATCGTTGCGAGACCGAGGCCACGCATGTTTTGCGAAGAAAGCTTAGGAAAGATTAATAAATGCGATTTAGAGCTTTTCCGGAACGGGTCGGTCCACGAATTCTATCGCTTGAAAGAGTTTTATTATAACTTTTTCTTGAAAGAGTTGATAACTTTGGAACAAGTGAACACTTCAGTGGTCGAAAAAAAAGATCTTTATTAGCAAAGACTAACCGGTCGGGTGTTGTAAACTTTTATGGTATGCAAATGAACCTTTTATAGCATGCGTGCTTGTTGAATTTGTAAATGAACAGGTATTTAAAAATACAAGAAAAATAGATCTACTTAATCTGGAGAGTCAGGAGCAGACATTTATAATCATCCCCCAAGATTGCTCAAATAAATGTGCAATGAAGACATTTTCAGGACCATTTTAATCAGTTCATGTTGAAAACAATAACTGAATTTATTGTCTATATCATTGTGGCATAACACAAAAATTTCCTTTATAAGTACAATCCATTTGCCACACACAGACACAAGTTGTATAATAATTATTATTATAATTGTTGTCAAGACTCTTTCGGAGGTGGTCTTTTGGCAGGAACAGGATGAAGAACTAAAAGAAAGCTACGAGGATCCATTATCACCATGCAAAACACTTACAAAATGTTGCTGGTGTAATGAAAAGCCATCCTTTTAATGATGATCCTGAATAAAAGGTGCTTTGGCGGATATTTAACCCGTGAAGCAGAAAGATACCTTAATATTAAATATCCTAACATCCTGCGTTTGAGATATGCCCAGAAAGTGTCATTTTTACCCATATAAAAATCAGAGAGTAGCATATGTTTTACATGTGCTATAGTTTCTTGGCATTCAAAATCCCCCTCTCTCAAAAGGTAATCCTACTGTTTACCAGCAGAATGGGTGCCAGACTGAAAAGTCCACTAAATTTCCAATAAAAAAGCAACACTAAATTTAAAATTTTGAATAAAAAAAAGAAACACATCCACCCCACCCCTAACCAATGTTTCTGACTGACGTGTGACTTAAGGGCAGAAACATGGGTTAGGGGTGGGGTGGGTAGGCAGTTTCCCAGAAACCTAAACTGATCCAGCATCACTTCTGGCCATAAACACTACACAGCCATAAACACTACTTCTGGAATCATAAACTTCTCACTTAATAAATACCAAAATGAAATGCACAGTGTCATATTCTGTGTTTCCATTTGTTGTGTTCAGATGAATATATTATATTAA